AGCAATGCTTAGCAATGCTTAGCAAACTGCTTAGCAAATGCCAAGCAAAACGCCAAGCAAAGCAATAGTTTAATAAAGAAAAGAGTAGCGAAGTCCATGTATAATATCTAATTTGCAACAGCCCTCTTTCAACCTGGTTTCCATGAATAGTAATTTGTCTACCCCCGAACACACATGCCCCTTGGACGAGGCGCCTTGCAGACAGACATCACAAAAGTACTTCTTGTCGGGTGGATCGAATAGGAAACGGTTAAGTTTTTATTGCATGTGTAATGAAATACTGCCCTTCTCGACGAGCAATGAATGAATGCATGGAATCGTTGCGGGTGCAGAGCTAACTCGATAGACGACGATGCCGTCATGGTCTCCGAAGACATTGATAGCCAACTTGTTTTGCTCTTCTACTTGGGTGATTTGCAAAAGCGGTGTGGGTGTGTTTATTCCCACGAATATTAAACCATCGTCTTTACTATAAGAGGAAGGACTGGTAGCAATTTTTAATGAGATGGGAATTAGGGCCGATCTTAACGCCCATCTTAAGCAGTTGTCTCTCTTTTTATGTTGATGATGGTGTTCTTTCTCGAATAATAAGCGGGCAGTTCGAGGTAAGAGCCACTACGGAGTGGAGATGCACTGACTACCTCGATGTAAACACTGCTCACTTCGTTTAAGGACCATTTCACATCGGGTTTAACCCAATCCTGTAGCTTTGCCTTGATCATTTTGATCGATGCGTCAATGCTTTCCCTTAACAACACGGCATCTTTTGGGGTTAAAGGCGCTGAATCGTTTCAGTTTGTCCAGGCAATGATTCTTCGATTGTTTCTAACCCTCCTACGAGAAGGAGTTCAGACCTATCGCTCGAGTATCCAGAGGATTTCGTGATGGATAGTTTGACCGAAAGTTGATACTTCACGCTACTCAGATCGAGGAATTTTCCGTCCTGAGTTTGTCGTATATAATGGGTTTGACTCTATCCAGTGTTATGTTTCATGGATTCGCATTCTCCAACTTCTCCGGAAGTGGGAATACGACCTCTCGTTCTTTCAAAAGTTCTATTATTTGGGGTTTTATTCAGATTTTTAGCCTCAGATCGCAGCTCTTTGACGGTCGTCATCGTTATAGTCCTATTAAAACATAGCTCTAAATGAGACTTTTATCACTAAATTAGACGCATGGATGACTTTGAGTATGTGACAATGGTTTTGAATAAGTGTTCTTATGTTCTTCTTGGTATGGCCGATTTGTGTAGGAAGAACTGTAGAGGCCCTCGATGCTCTCAGCACATGAATCATTTAAAAAGAGTTAGCGTGAACTACGTTTGCCATATACATGTGTGCGAAACACTTGTCCTTTTAAGTTATGCAAGGAGCATGGAAGTGTGGCGACAGCGAAGAGAAATTTGTACTATAAGAAGAAAAAACATAGCATTGAGGAGTCACACACACACACACACACACACACACACACACACACACACACACACATACACCTGTTTCAACGAGATCACCTCGACCTGACACTTACATAGCTGACTGGTTTGAAGGTGCCCCCTCGATACAACACAGTATTTTGGTAACTGTATATTCTTACAAAGACTCATTTTATAGAAACTGTCGACCTCTCGTTTATTTATGCACAAACTATGGTTTGCTTTGATTGGCTGAACATTCCACAGGCTATAGACACCATTTTGGAGCTTGTATGCCAGCGACGAAGGTAGGTTCTTTTTAATATTGCAGCATTCAGTGGACTATTTTGGTTAATTTTGTCAACCCCACCAACCAACACCCCGGAGGGTAGCATTTCGGTTGAGATGCAGTTCAGATGGGGCTCAGAACAGCAAAAAGTACTTCAAGCACATCGAGATTACCATTACAACATGTTAATGTTCATTGAGGATCTTTATCAAAATGGCCCTGGGGGGGAGACTATTCCACAGAATCCGAACGTAGATCTAACAATCAATCATTGAAATTAATAAAAAACAGTCAACTGGTCAAAATCTGTACCTGTATTTGATAAAAAAATTAAGCACAGTGGATCAAGTCTTCACTAGTTTACGTGACGTTTTAGAACGGCTCAGATAAGGCTATAATTTATTGAAAATATGTAATTCAATCTCTCTTGACGCCTCACTCGATTATGGGGATTGGTTGAACATAGCTTTTGAGCTTTATAATATTGAAAAGCCAACCCGTACCTGGAAAGCTTATGGCTACATAAGGAAGTTGGGATCAGACTAACATTCAGGCGCCTGGCAACAGAAGATTGGTTATTTCCAGTGTGCATTCTTTCAATGGCGATATTCCGTGCCATAGTGTCAAGACGTGGCGTAGTCATTTGACCTTGAAACTCCTTAAAAACGAATGCCGATTTCCGAAAGTAATCTGGATTTTTATAGCCAGACAGTGCATGCTCATTGATGCACAATTTCAACTAGAAGGTGATTTTTGTTGCGTTGTGGCAATGCATTGTTAATCCTTGTAAGAAATCTCTTCAAAATCAACATTTTCAGGTCATGTCGATTTTTTTACTGGTGCAGTTATGTAAAATCATGTTATCAACACTTTTGCTGCATATTTGGACGATTGTTTGAACACAATAAATAGATTTTTAAAAATACAAAACGCATATGCGTTTCTTTTTTTGGATAGTATATGCAGCTCTCTGTCGGGCTTTTTCAAATTTCACATCTTTAAAGGATGATTAGTATGTTAGGAACATAAATTTCCTGGAGCCTTTAAAATAAATAAATGACTTTGGACGAGCTGTTGTGCTTATGAAATGAAACAGACAAAACCAACCTTGTGAAAAATATTGTTAATGCAAACAAGTGTTCCCAAATTGTATGTGTTCGATTATGAGAAAGCATGATCGATTGCTTGGTCGTTTAGTCATTGCGACCAATCTTCGATTATTTCAATTCATCGGATCACCACTAGTGTGCATACAAGGCGCTGCATGGGACATCTCCGTGTTACCTCCAGGAGCTCATAACCCCATACCGACCGACACGATCCCTCCGGTCCCAAACTGCTTCACTCACCACTGTACCAAAAACAAGAACTGTGAAATATGGTGACAGATGCTTTAGCAAGTTAGCAGCCAGTTAGCAGCAAGTAATCCTTTAATATTACTTCTTTGAGTGGCATGTTTAGAAGTTAGTGAATCAGATAAGGACAAAGTTTATGGATGAACGTCGCATCATCCGAATAAAGAAGTTGTTCATCCATAACGTTTGCCCTTATCTCCTTTAAGGTTGTTTATTTGTTGAGATATAAAACTCACATATCGATGTCTGTGGGGAAAAGGTCACACCGTTTTCTCGAGATATCACTTAAGGACACAAGCCAAAGTCTTGTCTATATTTATTAAAAAACACACCCCCTTGACCAGGAGACCAGATTACATGGTTTAAACATATTTATTCATTTAGTCATGATGGTATTGGAAAACAAGCATAAAAACATGCTTATATCAATGCCGCTCCCTAACAATGATACAATAGTATTAACAATTGTGATATAGTGACGTACACATGAGCTGGGTGCAAAACATAATGTGAATCTACAAGGAACAATATTGACAATATAATGTGTTACAATTTGCAAATATACGTTGAAGGCAAATAAACTAGAAGCTGTTGTGATCTCAGTACATTAGCAAGGCACGGCACGGTACAATAAACCTAGGCTAGGTAAATTGCGAGAATCTCTGGGAAGATATGATATAATTATGTACCGATTTTAGTAGTTCCAGATTTACCTGTTCTGATGAACCCGAATGACCAATTAAGATTGATGGCAAATTAAATCCTCCACTAAAGAAGTATGCATTTGATCTTATGTCGTTAAAATATGGGACAGATGAGGAAGAAATGAAGCGCATCTTCGGTATGATGCCCGTAGTTACATTCAGGACTATCAGATATATATCTGGAAAACTTATTTCCATTTCGATTGCTACAAGCCGAAGTCGGGAGTGGATTATCTGGCCAGATCTTGAACCATGGGAAAGATTAAAGTAGATTTCACTGGTTGTTGTGTTCTTTTAGTTTGTTATTGAATTCCCCAGAGTATTGGCATTTACGATATCAGGAGGGAGAGAGTTCCAGATGTTTACCGTGTCAGTGATAAATGAATTGGAGTACAAACTAGTATTGCATTTAATACTTTGTAGGTCAGAATTATTTCTCAAATTATATCTACTTACAGGTGATACTTTTTCTGGAACTAAATTAGACAAATAATCTGGAACTAGTTTGTTAACCATTTTGTAAAATATGTATAATTTTTGACGGCGTCTTCTATTTTCAAGTGAAGAAATATTTGTCTCAGAATATAGTTTTAATTTCTCTAGAAGAAGCGTTTGCTCTTTAGTGCAATTATCCCATACATGACACCCGTAGTCGAATATTGGTAAAATATATGACTTCTTAGGCAGTTTAACATTGGACTGGGAACTGCTAACATTGTATTCATCGACACAGACGAGGCAGTGATAACACCGACTCCCTGCAAAGGTACACGCTTGACCTTTATACTTTGTATGGGAGGATATTATTGCCACAGCCTGAGCGAAATACCATCTACGTATATTTAGGTGTATAATATATAATCTAAGAAGCATCGAATTGGTATCCATATTTTCTCGAGAATTCGACGTTAATTCAGGGTCTTCCTTTTGGGTTTGTTGTTTAATGTCGCACTTATCAATATTACAGCTACATAGCAACGATCTGTACATAATCGCGTCTGGACCAGACAACCCAATAACGTCAACGCCTTATGCAAGTTCTATAACTTAATATTATCTGTGTCATATGAGTAATACTCATTGGTCAAACAGCTCTTCCCAAAGGGAAATGCAAATACGATATAAAAACACTAACGACACCAGCTGAGGCGACGCCACTGAATGAGGCCACGGGAACTGCAAACTGTGCGTTTGACCATAGGATGAAAAACAGTAACTCGTTCAGATGATTCTTGCGTTACCTTGGCTTCTTTCTCCAGCAAAGCTCTGATTATTGCTTGTCCAAGCCCACCTGCACCGCCGGTAACTATGGCAACTTTTCCTTTGATGTGCATGGTCCAAAATACCTAGATGACGACAGATTTATGGAGGAGGAGTCCGTCAGTGATCAGATGTTGAGTAGATTGAGCAGTCACGAGATATGTACTAAGACGGTTGTGTTACAATCTGCCCAGGTTGAGAGATGTCCCGAGATGTGTGCTTTGGCTGTTGTGTAAGAATCTGCCCAGGATGAGAGATGTCCCAGGATATGTGCTTAGATTGATGTATAGCAATCTACCCAGGTTGAAAGATGTCCCAAGATGCGTGCTTTGGCTGTTGTGTAACATTCTACCCGGTGTCCTCACGCCTAGCCCAAGATCCGATTTCCCCTCTTTCCGCCTAGCCCAAAATCCAATTTCCCCTTATTCCCACTAAGTCCCAAGCCAAAAACAGTGGTGTTGTTACAAGTGATTAACGCTCTGATTTATAGCCTGTTTACCTGACTGAGTGTTCACTAACTATAGTGTTCACTCACTGTCATCCACATCCTTTTATAAAAAGGCGGACAAGTTCGACAGGTTATACCTTGAGTAACTGTTCACTCACTATCATTAGTGTTCACTCACTGTCATCCACTTCATAGTATAACAAGTAGGAAAAGTTCGATTTAAGAAATATTTTCATCAAATTTAGACTTGGTTTGTTAGATTTAATGATAAGCGAAATGTCCATAGATAAGAACAGGAGTTGAGAATGAAATCCACTGTATGCTCGTCTGTCCATCCTACTCCATTCTAACAAGCAAATACATTCCACACCCTTTTTTGTCAAAATCACCTGCTCTAGCTTTTTCATCCTTAACGTCTTCTCAAAATGATAATGATATTCTTAATCTGTCATTATTTATATAGTATGAGACTAAGAAATGTACTGTTAAACAATTTAAAACGCAAGAACGAAATTTTACAATATCCTGTCATTTTGTTCTCTCTATTATATGTATTGTATACTGTATATTGTATATTATATACAAATGTATCCTGTTTTAGCTATTTACGAAGAAGAGCTTGCAGGTGTGTGGGTTTGCTTTTCACTTCTGAATATATTATGTAACAGCCATGTTTTTGACGGGTCCATTAGAAATTAACCATCATATAAAGCTGACATTTAACTTTTTTTGTTTTTGTTAAATCACCTAATACTTTTATCTTATACTTATGTATCCTTTTGCAATATTTTTATTGATATTGGCAACAGTGATTGACCCGACGAGACAGAACAGTTGGTTGCCAGAATACCCAACTTCGATTCCTGTTCGTCATCCCTTTACCGAAGCAGTGCCAAAATCCATCCTCCACTGCACAAGACGAGAGACGACATCAACCTGACTGGTGTGTGGTGTGAGACTACAGCTGGAGATAATTTCATCCCTCTGTCATCTAGCTGCAGCAGATACCTGGTATGGAGATGGTACCTGTCCTGTCCAAGCCTCTACAAGCAAGTCTACACTATTCATGCCTTCGTCAACGGTGAAATGTGTAACAACTGGCCCAGTTTGAGAGATGTCCCAAAATGTGTGCTTAGGCTTGTGTGTAACAACTGGCCCAGTTTGAGAGATGTCCCAGGTTTGCTTGTGTGTAACAATTGGCCCAGTTTGAGAGATGTCCCGAGATGTGTGCTTAGGCTTGTGTGTAACAACTGTCCCAGTTTGAGAGATGTCCCAGGATGTGTCCAAGGCTGTTGTGTAACAATAGGCATTGGCTGAAAGATGTCCTGGGATGTTTCTTCCATGTCATAAGATGTCAATATGTATTTTTACATTGCTATTTTACGATATTCATTTTCATATTGACTTGTTTATCACTTGTCTAAGATCTACGTGCATCTGTATGGTGCTGGAAATCATAAAGACATACGATCATACGATATTAAAGGTCGCAATTCGAAGACAAAGAAACGGGTTTCGTGTTCCAAGCTAATAAAATACCCCATGACTTATGACTAGATAAGTATAACCAAACTAGGAGACTGATATAACTATATCCTGAAAGAAAGGATATACTCAATTACTAGAAGGGCAAAGTACAGACGTACGTCAGCAACAGTGGTATTTTCCGTCTGTACAGTACAGGATTTTATATTTTACTTAGTCAGCAACCAAGATAAAAGATATATTCCGCATTACAAATACATCAGTCGGCGAATATTTCAATGTCAGAAAGCATAACAGATGCCTTGAAAAAATCAATAAGTATGTGATACTGCTTCATCATATTTTTTAATTAAAAAAAATAAAACATTGACGTTTTGATGTACAGAACTCCACGCCAATCGATCTCAGAACCTCTCTAATGACGGACTGTTTGGTCTTTGAGAGTGACACCTTAAGTTGATTCATCAGTCGCCTCTATCTTCATTCTGCGATCCTGTTCCTTGGGATCCGTGAGAATTATGGTGCCGTTACTGTCATCATCCTCCAGCAGATCAATGACAGAAACAGCTATGTTCTTTGGACTGTAAAATACGATTCAACAATATTACTCATTATTATAGCATGCTTCAATTAAATTTGTCAGTATGAGAATGGAAGTGTAATGTTGTTCTCTCTTATACCAAGTCATGAGAAAACTTTTCATTGTTAATGGCAATTAAAAACAACATCGCTCGAGATCAGGCTTTTTAACCAATTTGCGCAAATGGAGTGATGCAACGTCACGCTGTGTCAGGTTACTACATGAGCAAATGTTGCATGTGTTTAACAGTTGGGGGGGGGGGGGCTCTTTCTGGCATATTGTTGCTTTTTTGCCTGGCTATTTCCTTAGATCTGAACAACACAAAATAAGTCTGGGATGAGCAGGACCGAAGCAACGGTACTGCAATCTATATTGGATATCTATACTTTGGTTGACATTATGAATCACAGTCTCAAGTTTGTTTTCAGTCATCAGGTTTCTGTAGCGCACCTCCTGCCTCCGCAATGTCAACCTAAATGGTTGTCCCACCAGATGTTGAGACTGTTAATTTAACCCCTAGCCCTCTTGCCCGCCCCTCTCTCCTGTTAAACATTAACGCCACCTTCTGTTACATTTACATCATATGATAATGATTTGCTTGGACAGCTTCTGAATGGATCTTGGGTTACCTCATATTGAAGAAAAAGACTAAACAAAAAAATCCAAATAAAAACGAAAGTGAAAAACAACAAAAACGGCGGAATCACAAATACCAAATATGTTGGTAGGATCTCTGGAGTCTCACTTTTCTAAGACTTCTGGCATTGCGAAACTTGTTGCACAAGTTAAATATCCAATTTATATTTAACGTTACCTGACATTGTCATATGATTCGACATTTGAGCAGCTTTTGACAAGCATGCTAATGTGTGGTATTGAGTTTACTTACTCTTCAAAGCCAGAATTCTCATGAAGCTTCTCCAGATCATCAACATACAACACTTGCAACTGTGGGTCAGGCGTTATAAACGATGTAAAGGCTGTGGGGCACACCAAGCAGAATCTCAAGCCCAGGTCTTTCAGATAGGGATTTGTCTGGAAAATTAACATTCCCACAATGAACCAATTCGGTAGGTGGTCCTGTTCTCAGTTTGTTGTTGTCAAAGGTGTTGCTAACGTTGGCATGCTTTAGAACGTTAGCCTGGGTTGTGTGTTGCTTGTTTGGATATCACGACATGAAGATACATTATCCAATAAACAAATCCTTAGTGATCCATAAAGATAATGTTTAGCTAACCAGTCATGTTTGTGTTCCCCAGAGTCTAATAACAGTTATGCCCGACAACTAACATACTTTTGTGTTTCTGACTGACTGATAATTGTGTGGGCGGGACTTTCAGGTGCTTGGAAATAGGTCCCTAGTGATTTCGTTTCATTTTCATCCTTTTTATGCCTTTGATTAAGTGATCAGGATAAAAAGTTATTATTGTTGATTTACTTTGTGTACATCTGCTGTTCAATATTTTGAATTCTATTCTTTATGATATTTCACGTCTATACTTACTGCCCAAGATCGGGTGAATCCAGTTATTCCGGTTTTTGTGGCTGTATATATGGGAAGTTGGAAGTGAGGCTCTAATCCTGGAAAACATAACAATGTTCTTTCTAAACTCAGCATCTGCATTATGAGTGAGTTTGGTCTTACGCCGCTTTTACCAATATTACAGCAACATCACACAGCGGGGGACACTACAAATGGGCTTCACTCATTGTACCCATGTGGGAATTCGAACCCAGGTCTTCGGCATGACGAGCCAACGCTTTAACCACTAGACTACCCCACCGCCCTCAGTATCGCTATAAAGTCATCAACACTGTGACTGTCACATTAGTCGGCTACGTCTATTTGTCTTCTAAATTCATCCTTCTAATCCTAATTCCTGATAATCTTCTTGAAGGAGTGAGTGAGTACAGTTTCATGCCGCCTTTAGCAATATTCCAGCAATATCACCAGGATTGCCTATACACATTGTACCCATGTGTTGAACGGACGCTTTAACCATTAGGCTACCCCACCGCCCCCTTCTTGAAGGACGTACCATTTACACCACCACCACATTAACGAACACGCTTATAACCAGCTGACCGATATAACGAACTATCCCACTTTTTGGGTGCAAATTGTACTCCAAATGCTTACAAAAGCTTTGGTCCCTTACACTTCGTTATAGCTGTACTTTACTCCTTGCACCGTGACTCAAGTGAAACAATTATGTTCATATACACTGAAAGATAAACGAAGGTACACCGATCTATATATTGTTGACACACACACACACACACACACACACACACACACACACACATATATATATATATATATATAGAAAGTGATGAGAATACCGAGTGTACAGTAGTACATATATAAGAAGAAGTTTCTGAAATAATCACACGACACGGATCTTCTCCAACATGTTTCACTTTTATCTTCAGGGAGAAGTGATTACAGTTAAACTGATTATGTTATGACGTAACAATGCAACTCACTATGACGTCACTATGCAAGATAAAAGTGAAACATGTTGGAGAAGATCCGTGTCGTGTGATTATTTCAGAAACTTCTTCTTAATATATAATACACACACACACACACACACACACACACACACACACACACACACACACACACACACACATTTCTATGGAAATTAAAAGAACTTCAGTTTATTGTGAGCTTGTGTATTGAGCCACCACGCAGTTTTAAAGCCTAATCTGAACCAGAAAGATTATGGGTAAAGTGACTTGATTCAATGAACAAGAATAAATTTACAACCACATGGTTATTACCATGTTTTACGTGCAAGTTTTGAAAAACAAAATATAAGTGCCTGATCCCGAACAGGACATATGTATTATGCGAATATGTTGGTTTTTTTAATTTTGAAAAATATTAAATTATAATATTTTTCAGAAATAATGATTTTGAAGCATATTCTTAATACAGAAATTGGGCCACCCCTCAGCACATGTTTTAAAAGATCACCACAACTTCATTAAAACACTTCAATTTCCTGTTTAGCCCAAAAAGGTGGTTTAAGTCATATGGTAAACAGAACAAAAGTGGTGTTTATATACACGTATTTTGTTAGTGGTTCTTTATCATCTTACTGGTACTTATTTATCTCGATCACGGAGGCAACACCACCTACCTGCAATGGAGGACACGTTGACGACCACTCCACCTTCCCCACCTTCATCCTTCCTCATGTGCTTGATGGCGAGGTTCGAACCTCTGATGGTGCCACCCTGCGAAGACAGGGACAGTTTTATGTGCTTAATGAAAATGTATGTAAGTTTTTCTACAGTTGTCTTTACATTTCTTTCACAATAAATTACTTTCATACATATGGAGATCTGGGTTAGGATGCAGTCTTCAGCCACCTATGTCTGTCGTAAGAGGCGTTGAGTTGGTTGACAGATGTCATGGTATCCCAATTGCGTAGATCGATGCTCATGTTGTTGACCACTGGATTGTCTGATCCAGATTTGATTATTTACAGAGCACCGTCATATTGCTGAGTGCGGCGTTTAATACCCCCCTCCCCAAAAAAAAAAAAAAAAAAATATGAATAAAAACAAAACTAAATAAATAAATAAATAAAAAATAATAATAAATTTTTTAGTAGTAGAGGTCCGATCCTATGATGGTTCCACCTTGTAACAACGAACCAAAGCTTTCCACACAACACAACCCCGCCACCCCTTGATGCCTTATCAGAAAATGTACTTGTGTTTGTACTAAATATTATTTATTTCATAATAATTGATGTAGATGTACCTGATATAAATCACGAGTCGCGAGTGACTCTGACATGCCATAATAATCACACTGTAGAATTTTGATAACGCGAGCAATGAATTTCAACCTTCTGCTCACACCTGGATATCTTGGCAGGTTATATAGGTGAGCTGCGTCTATCACATACAGTGTATCTAAGCACTTTGATGGAAGCTTCGCATTTTCATGATGGCATTGGTTGCTGGATGGCTTTCAGTTTAAATATTTTGATCTGTCAATAAGTAAAATGCATCTATCATTTGTTCCTTTTTAACTTCCTCAATTTCAGTTTCTTCTGGCCGGTACTTTGTCGTTCTAGACAGTAAAAGTGACAGTATTTGATCCAGTTCAAATATTGGAACTCGATAATTAGTGTCTGTAGCAACTGATTACTCGACAGATTCTCATGTTATTTAAATGATGTTCAACTGATGAGTCGTGGAGCGTAATTGCTGATGAAGTTTCCTATTTGGAGTAGCCACTCCTAACTACATCTTGGGGGATTGGTAGAAACTCGCGTCAGTCGTAAAGATGTTGGTCTTCCACAGCTAGTGTGACATAAGAGGCAACTACTGGCGGACTGATGAATTTTATTGTTTCCTAATGACATACATCAATGAACGTGGCACCGTCATTAACAGATCGCCTTCATGTAGCTTGATACTTGACAAGAAACAAACGCATTTACACGTATTTGATCACAAAATCTCATGCTCAGTTGTGTTCTCTTACCAGGTTGGTCCATCGTCGACAGGTTTTAATCTTCAAGTTGTTTCTACTTTTTATTGTATGGCTTGTTTTCGTCACGATATGGCTGCAATATTGCCGATGTGACGTTAAATATTAACTCACTCACTCACTCTTACCAGGTTGACCAGAAGCATCTTGTCGATGTCAGTCCTCTCGTTGACGATAGCTGCATTATTGACCATGATGTCCACCTGTCCATGGCGTGCAACGACGCCGTCGAAGGCCTCTGTGAAACAAAGGACATGTATTGAGAAGTGTTCGTTATTGGGAACTCAGTCATATCAACCTAGAAACGTCATCTGCGGCATTAAATCCACCTTTGAGGATAATTTGACATATAGTTTGGTCATGGGTCAGCCAGCACATATGAGGCATCAACACGAAGATTTACAATTGTGTCAATTCTGAAAGTCCCTACAACCAATTTAATCCATTTTTGTGAAGGCAGTGAAACTGATTGAACTTTACTGTTACAACACACTGCACAAAACCTCTACAAGACTCTGTCATGTCAAAGAAGAAACGTCATCAATGACATTAATTGTACCCTTTGAGGGTTTTTGAGACAGATATTATGGTCAAGGGTCAACATTGTCGCCAGCAAATATCAGGCATCGGGGCAGATATTAACAAGTGTGTATAGAACCGTGTGAATTCTGAAAATCCCTTCATCCGCTACATGAAACTGACCGCCTCCGTGGTGTAGTGGTTAGAGCGGCCGCCCGGAGAGTGGAAGGTCGCGGGTTTGATCCCCGACCACACCATACCAAAAGACGTTCAAATATGGTACTTGTTGGTCCCTGCCTGGCGCTGGGCATTAATGGGTACAACAAGGACTGGTCGGCTCAGAGTCAGTATAATGTGTCTGAGTGGGGTATTCATGCTTTACTGCGGCATGGTATCTCATTGGGCTAGCACTAAAAAAACAGCTTCAGTCTGGGCTAGTGAAACTTACATGAAACTTAGGATATTCGAGGAAATATCAAATCCACCTCAACACCTTAAATGCGGTTGAGCAAACAGAATGTCAGCAAAAATCATCGGATCGACTAACGTGTAGTGTTATGTGATATGTCAAGATAGCAAGACCTTAACTATCTATATCCGACAACCCACCACCTCAATAAAGTAAGTCTGTACTAGTCACTGATCGCAAATGTTAAATGAGGGAATAGGTCATATAGGCAAGAAGTATGCACCCCATCCCTTGAGCTCCCCTCTTGCTGATCTCATAATTTATGCACATGAAAGGAATTGCTGAGTTGAACATTCATAGAAGTGTTGTCCAGTGCACAAATACTTTCTCTTTACTGCCTTTGCGAATATCGTGAAGACGTAAGGTCATTTCGCTCCATACCTGTAAAACCCTCTTCGTCAGTTACATCGCACAGCGAGAAGGACACTTTGTCTCCTCCAAACTGACTCTGTAGTGAAGACTCTATCTCAGCACCTCTGTCAGCATGGATGTCAAAGATACACACCTACATTAAACAAATACAGGTTCAAGTTACATTGTTAAGTTACGTCACGTTGGCATTATTTCAGCCCTATCGTGACTAAATCAAGTTATAGTTTTATATCAATTAAAGGTAAATTATAAAAATCTGTCAACAAAGGACCGCAAAACAACTAAGTTATCACAGATTGAGATATAGAACTAGTGGGGACGTAAGTCCCAAAGCAATCAGAGTAAATTAACCTTACCCAGTATACTACAAACACAAAGTATGGGAACATCCCAAAATTTGGTAGTCAGGTATAAACTTAAATCTGGTGATGTCATTTATACTCGAAGGTAAATGCAACTTTTGTGTGGTTCACTGGCACTTTAAACGACATGCTGGAACATGCAGTTAACCAACTGATTCAATGATCGTTGAGTTTGAGTGTAATGAAACATTGTCAAAAACAGCGAAAAACAAGGGTGCTGAAACACACCAGCACCATGTTGATTCCATTGACCCAAACACAACAGCCTAGTGTATGTGGAAGATATTGAATCAGTTGCTGCACTGCATGTTCCAACATGTGGTTTAAAGTACCCATTAAGCACACAAACAAAAAGTTGCATTTACCTTAGTGTATAAATGATCTCACCACGTTTACGTTTATACGTGACTATCAAATGTTTGGGTGTTCCCATACTTTTTGTTTGTAGTATATTTTAAACATAGTATCTTTGTAATTGTAAATTATGGCTGAACTATGACTTATAACTAGGTTATCGCAAATAGATATATAAACCTAGCATTAATTTAATATTTATAGTATAATGCAGAACAATACATTATAAAACAACGGGCTATATAGATCACCAGCAACTCAAGGTAGATCACCATACTAGGGGCCATGGGGACTTACAGTACTTTGCCTCCTACATGGACCCTAGCTGGATTTATACCATCCCTTCAGCCGCTGGTGATTGTTGTCAAATTTGGCCATAATTTACAATCACAAAGATACTACGTTTAAAACATTTGGTAAGATTAATTTACTTTGATTCCTTTGGGAATTACGTACCCTCTCAGGAGGACAATAGTTTATGATACTTCAACCCCCTTTGAGGATACAGCCACTCACAATCTCAGCTGCTCAATTAAACTACCGATATTAAAATATTTATCTATTAACAAACCATTTGCCAAAATATATCTAATGTTTCTATTTCTTTTAAAAATTCAGTAAGTAAATGATAATTAACATTAAAGATATCCGTCACTGTTCTGACATTGAAATATTTATCCCTTATGATGGAAAAGCAACACAGTCAAGCAGGACATGCTGGACCGTGATTTTGTCATCACAAGCGATGCAAAATGGAGTGTCTTCGCTTTTTAACAAATACTCATGAGTACATCTTGTATGGCCAATAAAACATCGTCGCACGATCTGGACTGACAACCCAAGTAGGTGTAACCGATGTAGGGTTTTATTGCATGTAATTATTGATACCTACCTGGGTGTCCCATTCTTTTGCATCAGATCTCAGATGTACGACCTAATGCTAGCTTTGTAATATGAGTATGGAATGAGACGTGGTGTCACAGATTTGTTGAGTGCTGCATTAGCAGCAAAATCGGCCATTGTGTTACCAGAAATTCCAACGTGGCTGGGTAGCCAACAGAGGACGATGTCGTATTGGCCAGTAGCAAGATCATGATATAATTCAACAGTGTATGACATAAGGCCCGTCCGACAGCCCGAGACGGGCTAGATTTCTGCCGGACGGTCTAATTTTACAGCTAGCCAGCCCGATGAAAGGGTGAAAAAAATATTCAAATAACTTGTCCACTGGCACTGTCTATTTAGTATTTAAGAAGAACTGGTTAAATCTCTTCTGGGCTGGTAAGTTTTTGAAGTTTCCAGCCCAGATGTCTGGATGGGTTTTTGGCTCATTTCATACACTGAATTCAATAATGTCAATTGTTAGAGGGTGTTTACAAGATAAGTTTTTTTATAGCCTGAAAGCACGAAAAGATAAGAAAACATTATATATTGTTTATATTTAGTTTTACTAAATACAATGTATATTTAAGAGCCTTTAATATGGCTTTTGCTTCTGCTGTAAAAATAGAGCTGTTATCCGGTATTCAAGAAGATATTGTTCTGCATCCAGCGACAGTGGTACAAGCAACTGCGCCACCATCCTTGGACCCATCTGTGAATAAGGATTGGTATATAATATACATGTATATATTTTGTAATTGATTTATATTGTAAATCATTGGTTTCTGATTTTTTAAATGTTGTCAATGTTGGGTCAACCTTGCCAAGGAGGAGAAGAAAGAAGACGGGATGGAGATACATGTATATTTTCTTGTTCAATGCCAGCAGCAGAAATGAAAGGTTTGACTCTAAGTCCCAGAGTCGGAACAAGAGAAGTCTTCTTGTTGTACAAAGCCTCACAGAGGGAATTAATGACACAGCTATGCAGGATTTGACTCGTTATAAAATAGTTGTGTGATATAAACTTAAACTTAATTTTATACGACGATGGTTAAGAGATGGATCATCGGTCTCAACGTAGAGATTGTCAACAAGTGAAGTTCTGAAGAACCAAAGACAAAATCTTAGACCTTGGTGGTGAACAGAATCTAAGAGTTTTAGGTTGCTTTTGCAGGCTCCATCATATAAATAACATTGAGAATATAACATGAAGTTATACAAAAAGACAAGTTCCTCTGGGTCCAGAGATGCAAAAGACTGATGGTGCTTTGTCTGGCACTGAGCTTTTAAAGAACAACAAAAGGACCTATCGACTGAGTCAGTTTGATGTTATTCCGCAGTGACTGCTATAACACTATTGCATTATATCAGGAAATATATATATTATAGAAAAAGACATGAGTCCAGAGGCGGAGATCGGTGATGCAAAGACGTCCAACAGTGGTACTGATGCTGCTTTGTAGGGCACTGGGCTTTAAAGGACCTGTAGACTGGAAGTCAGTTTCCTGTTATTCAGCTGTGACTGCTATGAATTAATTGCATTATAACAGGAACCAACACCTCAAGACATATAAGTATGTGAGTTTTACTGTAAAGCATTTTATGTTTACGATAGAAATACAGCCGTGCAATACGGCGAGCTCATACTGTACTCCGATTCCGTATTGCACAGATGCCGGGTCTACTTTTTCGGCAGTACTCGGGCCCTTCCGTTGATAACATGTGACAGACAGTGGGATCTGAAAAGGGTGTCCCAAGTGAAATCTTTGAGACATTACGGTTATTAAATGAAAAATTGTTTTGTGTCAAATATTTTTTTGATTCGAAATATAACCTGGCACTTGATTGAAGACGTCAGGCTGATGAATTGCCATCCCGCGTATACATATGTGATACGCCCCTTGCACGGAGTAACAGTCAAATCCTTGTGACATAAATGCAGGAGTATCAATAGTGGCGTTTAGACTGAAACAGTCTCTGGCATCAAAAGGGTATTTATTTAATATAGAACGTCATACTAGTGCATTTGGACATCATGTATTCGAAGATGTCATAGGGGGAGAGAACGAACTCGTTCTTCAAACTCTACCAATTTTCAATACATAAGACATGATAAGGTCCAAATGCACCAGTATGATGTTCTATAAATGTGTACCTTGTAATATCACCAAGTGACAGGGCACTCAAACGTGACCCCTATCACTCAAGAAACGAATACTGCAGCAAACTGGCGGATATAACGAACTGTCGATTATAACGAACTGTCCAATATAACGAACTGACGATTATAACGAACTGGCGGATATAACGAACTGACGATATAACGAACTGGCGGATATAACGAACTGACGGATATAAAGAACTGATGGATGTAACGAACTGACAGATATAACGAACTGATGGATGTAACGAACTGACGAAAATAACGAACTGATGGATATAACGAACTGACTGATATAATGAACTGTCGATATAACGAACTGACGGATATAACGAACTGTCGAATATAACGAACTGACGGATATAACGAACTGACAAAAATAACGAACTGACGGATATAACGAACTGACGAAAATAACAAACTGACGGATATAACGAACTGACGGAACTGACGAATATAACGAACTGGCGGATATAACGAACTGTCGAATATAACGAACTGGCGGATATAACGAACTGACAAATATAACGAACTGACGGATATAATGAACTGTCGAATATAACGAACTGACGGATATAATGAACTGCTGTTTTGGTCTCGGCTTGCTGTATATTAGGTTTATCGTCGTGCTTGGGAATATTTCGCTCATATGACGACGTGCATGCGTGTGTATGTGTATGTGCTGCTGCTTGTTCTAGCCCAGGCTTAAGCTGGTTTTATAGTGTTAGCCAACTGAGATACCATGCCGCACTGAAGCATGAATACCCCACTCAGACACATTATACTGACTCCGAGTCGACCAGTCCTAGTTGTACCCATTAATGCCGAGCGCCAGACAGGGACCAACAAGTACCATATTTTAACGTCTTTTGGTATGACGCAGTCGGGGATCAAACCCGCGACCTTCCGCTCGGACGCTCTAACCACTACACCACGGAGGCGGTCAGTTTCATGTAGCGGATGAAGGAATTTTCAGAATTCACACGGTCCTATACACAATTGTAAATATCTGCGCCGATGCCTGATATTTGCTGGCGACAATGTTGACTATAATATCTGTCTCAAAAATCCTCAAAGGGTACAATTAATGTCATTGATGTTCTTCAAACAGGTGCCTGAACAGTGAACGACAGTGAAAAAGCATCAATGCACGTGTATTGTCCTCCACTTTCCATGGATAGAGCGACTTGCACGTGCAAATCATTGACATTAAGTGGCAGGTGGATGTCCATCTTGACAATTTGAATATAAAATGTGCCATTTGTAACAGAATGTATCGGACATTAAAGAACGAAATGATGACATTTTAACGGCCTGATGTGTTTTTTCCTTACTGTTAAGAAGGATTGTAAAACATTCAGTAGTGTATATATT